TTGTACCAAAACGTTAGCCAAGTGCTCTCATACAGGATCAGGCTATTCAGTCCCCGCACAGGGGGGCTGGGGTTTAACACACAAACCTCCTAAATCCAGTATAACTCAGCAGGGGGGTTTAACTGGTTTAATCAAGACCTTGTTCTTTTGGTTTTGAGGTAAAGGGATTTCAGACTGTGGAGATACAATCATCCAGTTTAGTGGGCCTTTCCTGTTCCCTTATGTAGCCCCCTTCCCATGATTGGACTGGGTATTTCATCATTGGATTGGCATTATCAATGTTCCATCTCTTGGGTGCCTTTGATCATACAGGCTTTTACACTGTACTGGAGGTTTGCTTGAGGTGTGTAAAGCTGCCAAATTAATGAGCAGTGATATTTCTATCTGCCTTTTTTAAAGTGCCCATAGCAGGTATGCAAGTTGCTGAATAAATAAAATGGTGAGTGAACTCGGACCGGTGTGGTGTGCAGCATCACAGAGGAGGTGCATCGTCATCAAAGGCCTCGGCGTCTCACTCCACGGTGGCATCTCGGCTTCAGGAAGGTCGCCATGTGGCACTGGAGGTCACGGCCTCGCCACCAATGCCTGTCCGCCCTCGCTCCGGCACACTGCTCACACCAGAGGGAAACCGACACCTTAACTTTGCGGAAGACTGAGACTCACAGAGTGACAGTCAAAACCTGACCCACTGGATGCAGTGGACGGTGTCTGCGGAGTTTCAAGATTCCGTACTTTATTGCCATACAAGAAGTACCTGGAACAATAAAGTATAAAATACAATAGAATCTAGTGCAGATTAAGAACAACATGTCAGGTGCTTTGAAATATAGCATAATAATAAAATATAGTAAGTTCTGGTGCAGGAGAAATAGTGTCTAGTGTTTCAAATGCACAGAGCTGTTTGTCTGCAGGCCCGATCCCATTTTTACACCATGTATGTCGAAAGCCGCTGGCCCGTCTCAGACCTTTAATTAGGTTCTGGGGTGTGAAGCCACTGCTTTGTGTCCCAAGCGCCATGGCTGTGATTGTAATACAAACGGATGGGTAGAAATAATCAGCCTGCTCTCGGTCTGCATTCCTGGGAGCCACAAAGCTAATCCTTTTAATCTTCATGCCCGTGTAGCTGCCAGGGGATTAAAAAATTATACAGTTGAATTAAATAAGTTGAGAGAGCAGCAGGATTACGGTGAGCAGAAGGAGGACTTCAGTTAGCCGAGTGCTGGCCCCCAGCTCAGCGAGCCCTCGTGGTCCTGGGGGCTGCAGGATCAGCCTCGTTTCATACTGCTTCTATTTCGGCCCGTGAGAGAATGTCGCCCTTGTTCTAGTTGTTCTCAGCTCCGCTATAGCCATCTTAGATCCTCCCAAGTAAAGGCGAGGATTTCATTATAATTAGGCTCTTCAGACTTAGTCTTGGTGTGACCTGCTTCCATTAACTGAGGTTTTATGCAGATTTAATTTCTTTTTCTGTTGTCCGCTTTGATGGCTCTCTGCGTAGAATATTGTGTATGGAATAGATCGTGTATGGAGTTGAAATGTGCAACGTGCTGTAATCAGAACATTGTCGTAGAATGTGCTGAAGTTTCAGGGATCCAGCAGTAACTGAAATGTCACACGAATTTGGAGGCTCTGAGGAGGGTACTGGAAAATCATGGTGGGTCCCATTAGGTTGGGTTCTATTCAGGCTTTGCTCACCCAGGCTGCGTTCTGTTAGGTCCATTCTTGCAGATTGTCTCTATCATGCTAGGTTCTGTCGGGCTGGTTCTGTCTCTGTCAGTCTGGATTGTGTCATGCTGTGTTCCATCAGGCTGATTCTGTCTCTGTTCTGGCTGGGTTCCATCGGGCCGATTCTGTCTCTGTCAGGTTGGGTTCCGTCGTGCTGGTTCTGTCAGGCTGGGTTCCGTCGGGCTGGTTTTGTCAGGCTGGATCTCTGGGGGGGGTCCTGCAGGTGCGTTCTGGCATGGACATCACATCTCCCTCCTGCTGGGGACACTCTGGGGGCTTCTTCAAACACTCGGGATCAACAGATGGGATGTTTACGCTTCACTGGTGTCAGGAATGGCTGTGGGATTAGGCATTAATGTTGCCAGAGTATCGCTGTGATGTTTCTGACCATTTCTGTACTTTCAATCACCCCGTGGTTCTGTGTATAGTTTCAGTGTAACAAGTAAATGTGTGCACTAGTGTAGACATTAGCATTTAAGTGGACCATAAGATGCCCAAAAGCTTAACCAAGCAGGCCCGTGGCACTGACGACCCTGAGCTTCTTTCCAGAATATTCTTCCCCTTATCTCCCTCACTCAGTGTTTCCTTAGCCTGCGATTAGCAGTACTCCATGTCCTGCTTTTTGTTCCAAGCTTTGAGAGAAGAAAAAAGAGAAAAAAGAAGCACATTTGGGTCCCACTAACCCAAACTCCTGTTTCTGTCATTATTCAGACGCATGGTGTTTGGGTCGCAGCCCCTCGATAATAAATTGCTCCTTAACAATTGTGTCCATGGAGGTTCAGGCCTGTAACTCAGGTTCTGGCTTCTGCTGGCAAAACCTTAATTTACTGAAATGTCCCTGCTAGTAATGATGCCGTAATTTACTGCAATCTTTATTTTGTTTCTCTATTTTAGCCAAAAAGATTTTTGTGTCAGAAATAATAATGTTGCACACTTCCTGTAATGTATCTGTAATCTGCAACAAATAAAATAAGTTCTTCAAATTTCAGGTTCCTGCAGTGCTGTCAGATGCAGGTATCTGTCTGAGAACCTTTTTCCCCTCCGGTGATGGGCACTCCTTTTTTCTCTAGCCCCTGACTGGACGAGTCTCACAGACTGTAGCACCTGCTTGCAAGGTCATGGCTGTCCTGTTAATCGGCCAACAGGAAATGACAGGAAGGGGCACCCGGTGTAAAGTTAGACTCCTAACAGAACCGGACTCGGCGTAAGAGGTCTCCAGGCCTCGGTACGGGCACCTGCGATGCTGAAATCAGACCCTCATCCCCACCTCAATGGGCCGTCTGTTTGTTGTTTTGTTTCACCATCTCGCTCTTTCTCATTTCCTCATGGAAAAAAATGGATCTCGCTAGAGGTCAGAAGCTGTAGAAGCCCGAACCTGATTTAAATTTCCATGGTCCATTGCCGTCTCCATGACTCTTCTGTGGTCAGAATTTTTTAATTGTTTATTGGGTCCCAAAAGTCTTGTTCTCCATCTACACAAAGACCTTTGCCAATAGGACAAGCTGGAAACCTTTCAGCCTTTATTAGAGACTGGATTAGTCAACCATGTCTACACAAAGTATTTTTTTAAATCTGCAAATAATGCGTATTGTTACGTTTAGCCCGCGACCCAGTAGGATAAGCGGGTTGGAAAATGGATGGATGGATGTTACGTTTAGTTGCCTGATGACTTCCCAGAGCACAGTAGTACACAACCATATCCAGACTTTGTTAAATGAATTTTGCACGGGGATCACTGTCCCCCCATCCCATTGGGTCCCTCCCTGTCCCAGTGGGGACGCATATTCGTACCTAGCAAGAGCAGACCTGTGTTCTGGTCCTTTTGCTGCATTACTTTCGGGAGGTGTGACCCCTGCAGAGTCTGCAGCTGCAGCCTTTATATGTGTCCTGCTTCTACAGAACATCAGTGCAGAATATGGAGGACCTTGGAGAGCCGGGCAGAGCAGCCCAGGTGGCCCAGTCATTAGATACTGGAGCTGAGACACAACTTTGAAGGTTCAAGTGCCAAGAGCAGCGCAAGTCAAACCATATGGTGACACAGGCGGCGCAGACTTAGCAAGTCGATTTCACTTTCTCCCAGAAGGTGCGGGAGGCTGGGAGGGCAGGGAGGGGGCAAGGGAGACAACGATAAGGCTTGTTGGGATGGGGGTGAGGGGTGAAGCTTGGCTGGGACTCCACATGGACTTTGACCTGCACTGGCCAAGAGAGACCATATGATACGTCAATATGGGACAATTTCTGTACTGAACTTTTTACTCAACCTTAATCTCCAGTTTGCCTATTCAGGTTCAGAAGAGAATGTGTTTTGGAAAAAAAAACTATGAATCATGGCTGTGTGTCTGTTCCTTATGGTGCCCTGGTCTCAGCATGGCTCCCTTTATTTATGGGATGGCTGACTTTACCTGATGCCTGCAGAAAGCTGCTGGCCAGTTTGCCGATTTGGGGACGGTCTAGTGTATCATGCTGTTGTTCGGGAATCTTTTTTCTGCATACTGTATATACATAATTGACATTCAGAGTTAATGTTTCATTGTAGTGTTTTGTATTGTGTGTGTTGTTTAGGGACATATTTTCGCCCAATTATGGTGAGAAACTGGAATGAGAAGGTCTGTCTGTCCTGTGAGGTGCTGCTGATGTGTTTTCTCGCCCCTGGGCTTTTAATCAGCTCCAGCTATTCGCCGAAGCCTCACCTCTCAAATGCCTTGGAATTTCCTCTCCTGCCAGATAAATGTGTGGTGTTCTTGCTTAGGAAATCCCTTTGATGTGCCTTCTTATGTTATGTAGCAAGAGCTTTTAGGTTGCTCTTGGCTGAGTATGTATTTTGATTAGGAGAATCCTCCCCTCACTAGGAAAGTGTTTATGGGGATTTCCTGGCCCCCGCCCCCCATCCCACCTCTACCTTGTACCTCCAAGTCGCATAATCCCTGCTCACATTCCCAGATAAAGGCTTATGTTCCCGGGAATAATCACAGCATTATGGTATGACGATGGTCAAAAGCAATATGTCAAAATAAAAGCAGGAAATTAATAGAGAGTGAAAGAATGAACAAATACCACATACAGGTGTAGTGATTTCCAGATTGCTGTGTTTACTGAGAGTAGAGCTGGTTACTAGATGTGGTTCATGGACAATGTGTTGTCTGGGCCTTTTCAGGCATTTTAATAGGGAAAATAAAACTGAGCAATACCAATCTACTAACCGCTGGTCAGGGTCACGGTGTCACCTGACCATCATTTCCTCCAATCAGTAACTCTGGTGATATCACTTGACTCCTCAGGTGTATGACCGCCATTCGCCGCAGGACGAGCGAGCCAGCCGCACAGCTGCATGCTGGAGGCCACACCCCACCATGGAGCCCTCGCCTCATCTGGCCTGGGTCCTGCTCCTGAGTCTCATCGCTGATTGGTCAGAAAAGGGCCAGTCGCGGGACTTCACAGTCAACGACATTGTCTACCTCCATCCTTCCAGTAAGAGTGAGACCCACTGTCCTGTGCACACGTGCCGTCGGGTGGCTGGGTGTCGATGCTCCTCATTTCTGGACAGGCATCTGCTTTAGTCCATTAGAAGGCCCCCCCAGCATCTGTCACACAGTCTGCTCCTCGGCCCCGTCGGCCACAAGCGGCCTCCGTCCTTGATGGAGATCATGCATCCAGGGAAACAGCATCACTTAGCCTGGGTGTTCATTTCCCAGCATGCCGCTGTCTCCAATGAGGAGCGACCAGCATGGGGGTGGGCGGTATGCTGACTCTGAAAGAGCACCGTGGGGGTGTGCGAAGCCTGGGAGGGGGCTTGGTGCTTCTGGAATGCTCTGATCCTCAGCCAAGCCACTCAAGGCCACAGTTGGTGCAGCAACTGGTTTTAGCACCAGGATGGCTTCACGGCTTTGAATTTCGGGGTGTTTCATAGATTGCAGGTTGGCCAGGCTAGCAGCCCCCCCCCCCCATCCACAGCACAAAGCTGTCACATGACCTCTCAGCCCTCCCCCTTCAGTCTAGAAGCTGCTATCCCATAGGGGCCTGTTATGTATATTGTATTAATGGATCTACTTTTTGTGGTATATATACATATATCTATATATACTGTTAACCGGTATTTGTGTGTATGTGCACGGATATAAGTTCTGTTATACAACAAGTTCAATAAAAAGGCAAGGTATAGAAAGTGGTTATCTCACGGCTTTTCTCAATTTATTTAAAAGTAGAATGTTGTAAGACACAACAGGGCCTCCCATAAGAGACCTGAACAGCTTATTTTTCACTGCTAAAGACCTTGTCGTCACTGGGTTTATGCTGCTATAGTCCAGCAGGGGGTGTTTTTAGCAGAGGGCTAAGCATAAAGACACTCTGGGTTTTGATGAGCGTGTCGGTGGAGCTGTGCGGGCGGTCGGCAGGCTTTGTGCGCTGAGGGGGGTGTGGGTGACCTTCTCAGACCTGCAGCTGTTGCTGCTGATGGGAGGTGGGGACTCTAATTCGATTAACACAGGGGTGTCTAACAGGACAGCAGAGCTGGAGCTGCTGTTCCCTTGTGACAGATGGGCCCCACCCCCTAAGACACCCAACCGGTCACCCCCCGTTTAGCATTCTGGCCATGATGGGGCGGGTTTGTTGTTCCTGTGGTCCCACTCGAAGTGTTTCAAAAACTTAATAAATAGTTAGTAGATACAGTCAGAAGATCATCGCTGCCTAGCTGATTAGCAGAACATGCTGCTTCAGCGTCTCCTAAATGAGGGATTGTTTAAGTTTTAGAACAGTGAGCGTTTGTGGCCGACAGGAGGAGGCCAAACCTCAGTGGCCACACACAAAAGCATGGTTTGAAAGCTGGCAGACACCGCAATCTCTGGGGGCCTTTGGAGGGCCACGCAAAGGTGCCATGTGCTTTCAGTTTGAGCCAAATGCCCAGTGGAGCAGCAGCCATTCAGGGTTTTATTTAGGTAAATGTCAGCGATATAGCACAGGGGATGTTTATTTCTACAAACCCTTTTGGGGTACATGGGCTAAAATAGTTTTACTTATTGCATTTATTTAGCTTTTATCCAGAGTGAATGTCAAGTGAGGATCAAAAAGCAGGGTCAGCCGCCACTGGGGTTAAGGGGCTTGTTCAGGGGCTCAGCTGCGATACGATTACTGCGCAGACTCACTGGCAGCGTTGGTGCTGGGGGCTTGCTGGGGCTCTGCGTCTCAGTCAGTCCCTCTATCTGCAGCGACACCATTCCCCGGAGGCTTCAAGTGCTTCACGTGTGAGGATGCGGCAGACAACTACAGCTGCAACCGCTGGGCGCGGGACGTGTACTGTCCCCGAGGTGAGATCCGAACCCCATTCCTGTGGGTAAAGAGCCTCCGCTGTCCACTGTCCCCCAGAGAGACCCGAACCCCATTCCTGTGGGTAAAGAGCCTCCGCTGTCCACTGTCCCCCAGAGAGACCCAAACCCCATTCCTCCATTCCTGCTATACCCTGTATCTGCTTCTGAGCCAATCTGACAGCTCACATCTACAGCTGGCTGTGTTTATATAAAGTGTGTTTGTTTGAGAGAGGCTAAGGGTTACATAGGAAAGCCTTAATTACCTAATGCTTCCTGATTGTAGTGAAAACACTGGAATATGCAGCCCGTTTTGTCTTGGGTTGGCTGCTGTTTTGCTTACCACAGCAAAATGAATCACTGTATTTGTGCTTCAATGGAGTTTAATTCTGAAGTGTACAGCAAAGGTATAAATACTCTGCTGGCCATGGGATTTAAACTGGCCACCTTCTGCTTATCCCAGCCTATAGAGCCACGCTCTGCTGAATGCTGTGGCTGGCCCTAGCTGCGCTCCCAGCCAGACCCTCCTGATATGTTTGGGAGTTAAGAGCTGCTAGACAGAAAGCCTGAGACAGAGACTGTCCATTCCACACAGAGACACGATACTGCTACACTCATCACAGGATGGACGCGCGAGGGGACAGCGTGTCTGTGACCAAGCGCTGTGTGGCCCTGGAGGACTGTCTCTCTGCAGGGTGCAGGGACATTAACCATGAAGGACACAAGGTGAGATGGGGACGTCTGCCTGTTACTATGGGGGGCATTCAGCTGTCAGTTACCATGGTAATGAGGTTAAGGGTCCAGGCCAGAGTTCAGAGGTCAGACTGCCAGCACAGCATCATTTCATTTCCATTTTGCACGGTGCTGTCTTTGTTCATCCTGGCTTTTTGGATGGAGCTGCTTTGGTACGTTTCTAGGTCCTTCTGATTCCAGATGCCGAAAGATACCTATTTAATCTAGATAAAAGGCCCCCAGTTAGTCTTTGTCACTGTTGCGTTTCCCAGTCTTGTTGGACTCTCCTCCATGTGGCATCTCTCCGTGTTCAGCCTCTCTGTTCGGAAAGACACCTGGACCTGGACAGTGTTTCCCTGGTACAATGATCTCCCATGCCAGCATAGATTATTGGATATTTTAAAAAATAAATAATGTAATGGGGCAGATCTACAGCAGAAGTAATTCCATGACCAAAACACCCTGCATTTGATGAGGGGTGCATCCCATTATGCAGTAAAATGTGATAATTCGCAGTCAACAGCAGATGACTGATGGTATTTCGAAGCAAAGCAGGTCAGTTCTATTCAGATTGTAGCCAGATTTTAACATCTCATTGTAATTCCACTACCGCAGAACTAGCCAATAATGCCAGTACTGCAGACATCTGTGGTTTGCCCATACTTCGCCCATTCTTTAGCTGTGCTCCACTCACGCCCCCCTGTCCATGCACCACCTATTCTCTCTCTGTGCTCCACCTAAGCCCCGCCCATTTTCTGTCCATGCTCCGCCCATGCAACATTGTCAGGAAGGAAATGAGCGATAGCTGCTTATTGTTTAGGCGACCATGAAGAGCTGCAAAGAGGGTGGGAAACGCGAATATCCCCCCCCTCACATGCCTTGTCTTCTGGTGGCCCACAGGTCTGCACCGCCTGCTGTGAGGGCAACATCTGCAACCTGCCCCTGCCGAGGAACGAGACGGACGCCATCTTCAGTACGCTCTCCCCACTGAGCGCCGGCTCGCGGGTCACGCCGCGGCTCAGCTCTGTCACCTGCTCCCTGGTCATCTCCAGCGTGCTCACTGCCCTGGACCTCAGCCACGTATAAGCTCACCAGGGGCTGATCCGCTTGTCGTGTCTCTGTGCTGGGGAGAGATGATACTCTGTGTATCTATGCCCGCTGGGGGTGGGTGACCATGGCGAAGCTGCCGATTGGTTACCCTGGGAGTTGTGCTGTGTGTTCCGTGCTGCTGACAGCGATGGGCAGGGACACAACACAGCTTGGTGTCGCACACCCGAAAGCACTCAGCCCCCTCATCAGAAAGGGTGCTGCCTTGTGCAGGTTCTCCAGCTTCCAGGAGAACCACAGCTATACGTCAAGTGCTGCCTCTCCTTACCAGTGAGTCGTTCTGATGAAATATCTCTCCATTCACGTGAAGAGCTAATCCTACAGGAGTGCACACTGTAGGGCTACTTTCGGGATTCAGTGATTTCTCTGTACATCTATGTATATGTGTAAATATGAAATTATATTTAATTTTGTACAAAAATGTGATGCTGGAATATTAAATATGATTTGAGATCAGTGTATTTTACATCTAGGTGTTTACATTACATTCATATAACTTGCATTTTTGTCCAAAGCAATGCATTAGTGTGGAAAACTTCATGTCAGGGTGGGGTCATCCAGTGTTCCTGGAGCACTTGGGGTATGATTGCCATGGGATTTAAACCCACAACCTTCTGATCACAGGTTTATACCCCTGGCATTGGGTGTGTGTTTTGTGTGTGTTTTCTTTACCAGGTGGGATAGAATTCAGCATCCAGCTCTGTGCCAAATGTGAAAAGTACAGCATAGGAAAATCCCCATCTCTATGAAACACCAGCTTTCCTCACAGTTCATACATTAAATCCCACGGACCAAACTGTGAAAGCGGAGCTGTATAGACTGCGGGTATAAACACTGTCGGCTGACATCTTATAATCTGTACATACGTGTATGTGTCTTTGAGGTAATATTCATGTATGTCATCCTGTAAACGGTGAATGTGGTTTGGAACTGAACAAATGAACAGCTGATAATTAAAAAAGTAAGCCTTTACTGTATTTAGTTTTGTGCTTTACACTGTATCATACTGCACTTACGGATTCCTGTGGATTAATCTTTTTGTTATGCCTGAATATCCTGCGCTTCTCTACTGTTCACCTGATCTCAGATTGCCAAGTTACCACATTATGAAAAACTTAGTGGATCAGAAGTAAAACCCCATGATTTTATCAAAAAAGGTCTGTTCTTTTTTACATTTAAAATGAGAGGTGGTGACATGCTTTCAGGACATGCTCTGCTCTTCCAGCAGTGCTGCCCAGTCTAACTTTCACAGCTGGCTTTGAGAGACTCTGGCTGTACCGCTCTGCTCCTCGATGAAGTTTAGTAGGTAAGTTAATTCCATCCTTTTTTTCTCCCTATTTTTCTATCTCCTTTCTGCTCTCTCTCTTTCCTCTTCCCTCTTCACCCTCCATCTCTTCTTTCTCTCTTCGGACCCACATCTTTCTTCTGCCTCCTTTCACATCTCCGCTTTCATATCTCCACCCTGGTTATTTCCTTTCTCTGCTGCTGTAAAGCAGGTCAGATGGTCTCCCTCAAGTTCAAATGCTGGAAAACAAACTGTTCCATTCACCTCACCCTGGCGCCTGGACCTGTACCCTCTCTCCCTCAGATGGGGAGCCTTATAACAACAACATTCATCATGAGATGATTGGCCAGGAACAACTGATTGTACTCGGACTGTGTTTTGGCAGTCTCATTCACAAAATACATACAGTTAACTGGTTAACTCACAGGAAGCAGCGAGTAATTATTAGAGGCACAATGTCACAGTGGGCCTGTGTTCATAGTGGGGTACCACAGGGTTCAACTTTAGGACCACTATTGTTCCTAATTTACATTAATGATATTGACACCAATACATACAGTAAACTGGTTAAATTTGCAGACGATAACAAGGTGAGTGGTGTAGTAGATACTGATCTAGCAGCAGAGAGG